AGAATTGTAAACTGACATAGTAAGCATGTTGATGGCACTGAGTTGTATTGCTTTTGAAAAACGCACTCAGCAGAGCTAAGACTTGCCCTGTAGACTTGAGCAAGACTTCAAGAAGACTGGATCTGTGGAAGTCTTGCCAGCCTTTTCTAAAACAAGCACATGGGCTTGAGCTTTGGAGATGAGAAATAACATCCAAATTAACTGAAAAAAGAAAAAAAAAAAAAAGGAAAAAAACAGATTAATTAACAATTAACTCCAACAATTTGTTGGAGTGATTCAGGTAACAAAGTAGGGGAACGGCCTTATTTTGAAATGTCCGGAGGATATAATTCAATGGTGAGACAGTTACTATCCACAGGTGTGTAAAAGTTCATGATTCTTGGTGGTAGTCGTGATGCACAACATTGTTTAAGCTGTCATTTCCAAATTTGTCATAAAAATACAAACTAAACTAGATTGTATTTTCTGTTTTAATAAGGGCTGTTAATGTCATGAAATGTATGTTCTTAAAATTTGAAAAATAGTCGTAGCTGATCGAAACATTAGATGTAGCTGTTCTTGTAGATGCAAACTTGGGACACCAATTCTGTAATAAATTGGTAAGTGCTGTGAGCCAAGTGTGTCAGGCCAAGGCTGCGTAGGAGGCTCTGGACAGGAGCCATTGCCCTTTCCAAGGACGTGCCCTCCTAGGGCTTTTGTGCTGTTTGTAAGCGACTGTGCTGCGGAGAGTACAGGGTACAGCGCAGGTTGCGCACCGTGCATGTGCTGTCTATAACGTGCTGGTGAAGGGCCAGAAACAATCCAGAAGGATCCTCTAGGGTAGTGCAAAGCTCCTCGGCTCCTTCTCTTCACAGCTCTTGCAGAGCAGTGTATGAACCTGTGTCTCGGTGTTGAGCACAAAGTTTGTGTTCGATGTGAGCTCATACGTACAACGGTGTGTGAAGTCACCTACTGTGAACTGACTGGAGAGATTTGATTCTTCTCATATGTCACTTTTTAGAATTTTGTACTAAAATTAGAGCTGTTTTGAAATAGTGATCTGAAACTGGGGGAAGGGATCAACAGGGTTGTAGCTCACTCCTTGCTAGAGGAATACCAACAATGATGGTAGTTTGGCTGATAAATGTGAAACGTAGATCACAGCTGGCCCAGAGCAGCGTTGTGCTTTGCACAGCTGTGTGGTTCAGAAGATGTCAAAGCAGCCTCCTACCTTGAGCAAATAACTTGCTGCAGAGCAAGCAATCTGAATCTGCCGTTTGTACAGCCCACTGTGCATCCTGAGTGTGTTTTATGTACGCTGTAGCCTGCATGTTATACAGGAAGAGGAAGCTGTTCTTAATGGTTGACATCGCAAGTTTGTTAAACATTCTTTAAGATTTCAGGAAAACAAAAATATTGAAGGTGTTCAAGCAACCCGTTGGTGTTACGTGTTGTAATGATCTGGCAAAGAGCCACAGGCGCCATTTGAGGTAGAGTCAGGGTTGGACCGTGGCTCTCCCGGGCTGTGGGCATCCCAGCGCCAGCTGAACTGACACGGTGCAACTGCGTGATTCAAGACATGGGGCAGCTCGTGCACATGAGAAACAGATCTGCGTCGCCTGGTCCAGCCTTCAAACTCGTTATTTTTTAAGCTTTCCATCTTCATGATTTTGGTGTCATGTGTGAAAGTCTTTTTGTTTGATGCTATTGCCTAAATTAGCGTCTTTACCTATCTCAGTACCTAAAGAATGCAAGTGTTATATACCTGTGGAGGAAAGTTCATAATCTGTAAGAGGTTATCTATACTATGTCATATATGCTTTTCTGCATAGAAAAATTATGGTAAATTATTTATTCTTTTTCTAACGTGCTTCAAATGCTGGAAGATGTTCACGGATTATTGATTTGCAAGTACTATTTTAAATTTGATTCTGTTTCCACAAATGCAAATCATGTGATGGAAACATGGATGATGTGATGGAACACTTGCTCTCTTTAACTGAAAAACTATGTTCTTCTAGATGCACCACGTTCCTATAAAGAATGCTAGTTGTTTTAAGAGATTAAAATTATAATTTCTGTCTCAGTTGCAGAGAAGGAAATGGCCTCCAAGTTTGAAATGTCCTTTAGAATCTTTTTTTATTTCTTATCTACAGTTTGCTGACTGGTTATTTGATAACTATTTATGGTTTTCATGTGAGCCTTCTTGCAATCCTTTTTTTTCCCCTTCTGTCTCTGTGGTGATCCTTGGTTTGTGTTTGCCATCATGGAAAATAGGTGTGATTTTTCAAATGGCATTTACTATTTTCCCCAACATCAGGTTCATCTGAATTATTTTTTTTGTTAAACAAGTTATTATTGATGTTGGAGAAAAGATAATCTTCAAAGTTTGCATGCTTTTTCTGCGCCTGAAGCAGCAGCTTGTGAGATCTGCAGCTTGTGCTGCTTTTTGTTGTGTTCTCCCACCTGTGTCGTGTAGATGTAACGTGTTAGCCAGCCTGTGTCCTGCGTCGCCAGCCTGCCGCAGCTCGAGCAGCACCGCACTGCAGAGATTCTTCTTGCAGATATGTTTCATCTCTTTGAAATAAATATTTCACTGTTTTTCTTGTGGTCTGGCTGTCTTCCAGCAGTTTGCTGTCCTTGCTACTAAGGAGTTTCTTGCTGTCTAAACCAAGTTTTCCCTGCTGCAGGGTAGACCTGTATCACTCGTCCATGCAAAGTCCTCTGCACAGTCGCTCCCTTCAGGGTGACAGTCTTAAAAATGTGACGAGCCAATGCAATGAGGTCAGCCTTATTTAAAATGAGCAGTTCGCTCTCACACATTAGGGCTTCTGGAACTCTTATCTATGTCTCTCTTCTGGACTGACTCCTGGTGCAGATTTGAACCGCGGTGCGCGCGGGAGCACATGGTCAGCACTCCCGGAGGCCTTAGTGCTCCCGGCCACAGTGGAGGATTGTGTTGTTTTGAAGGCAGTGCTGCTGCTTGGAAAACAAAGTAACTAGTTTATTTTTTATCAGATGAGCTTTTACCAAATGATTGTAATTTCTGCTGAAACTCTAAGAAAATCCGTTCTTCCTTTTTCGTGGACTGGGGCGGAAGGCACGGTGTGGAGTAGACAATGCTCTTTGCTGCTTGTTTTGCAGGCCTCTGTGCAAGGGAGAAGCGCTTCTCCAGGTTCCTTCTGCAACACTGGGCGCAGCAGACGCTGGGAAGGGGGTTGTGAAACACGCAGTCTCACCTTTTCCTGTGGTGGTGGAGACTGTTTGCCCTGCCACCTTCCTCCTTACCTGCTGATGCTCCTGAAGCTTCTGGTGTTTTGAAGGGGACCAGGGTTTAGTTAAACGTCTTCCAAATATCTTGTTCTTAGTACACGGCAGTTAGACTAGCAGATACATTGACTGACATAGCCCTCACCTGTATAAGATGATAAGTGCCAAGTCGCAATATACACGTAGTGTGTATGTTTAAAAAAATTTCACTCTCCTCAGTTGACATCAAAATCTAGTGCAGTAAAATGCCTTGTTCTCAGAAGTTCTTTCTGGGTTGTATTCCATAGGTGATGGTTATTTGCTTCCTTTTAGTGTAATTGGTTTTTGTGGGGATAGTCCAGCTTGGCAGATATTCTTGTGCAGATGTTTTCTCTCCGCTTCTGTGCACAGTTGGATGGAGAGCCCCGCGTAGCTCTGGTGGACGAGGGCGGCTCTGGCGCATCCTGTGCTCCTGCGCTCTGCAGGCACGCGATGAGTGGAGCTTCCTTGTCCCCCTCGGATGGGGAGCCTTGGAGGGGGGCGTGCAGTAGGCGTGTGCCTGCACTGCCCACGCTGCGGGCGCCGTGGGGCTCCGTGCTGCACGTGGCCTCCTGCTCCACAGAACAGAACCCTTTGTGTGCACGGCTGAGCCTTGCGGGAATCGACACAACGGACTGGAGTATTCAATACAACCAGCGTCCAGAAAACTTCCGTTTTGATTATTGGCTTTGGCTTAACGTACTTCAAATTATTCATGGAAGCCCAACAACTCTCTCTTTACCTTTTTTTTTTTTCTGTATTTCACTAAGTGAGCTTTCTGAAAAATCTGGGTATTTTGAATGGGAAGCTGTTGCTTTTTTGTTGTTGTTGATTTGATAACTGTTTTAGTGATAGTGCATTACATGAGACAATATAGTCCGTGGTTACCTTTTTTTTGTTGGATATTTTGTACTTGGGTTTTCTTAAAAATGAAAACCAATTTGAAGTTAAAAATAATAAAGGCATCAGATTTTTGAGGAATTTATATATTTTTTCTATAATCAGAGATGCCCTGAAATTTGCAATTGCTACTCACCTGATTGTACTTACAGTCTCAAATTTAATGGAGCAACAGGAATGACTGCACGTGCTTACAAACACAAATACGTGGGCACAGTACATGGTAGTCGTGTCTGTGCTGATTAGAGAATGTGTGGCTTTTTCTTTGTCCGACAACTATGCGTTGCATATAAGTTCAAAGAAAACACCATTGGCAAGTGCTTTGTACGCCACTCTCTGGGGTTATGCGCAGCCTGAGGCGATACCAGATCCCCGTCAAAATGTTTTATGCTTTTGCGACCCACAGTCACCAGCTAATACTGCATTTCTGGCTTTCTGACCACGTCACCCACTGCCCTCGCTGTGCTGCTAAACTGAGGTCAAGATGCAGACCTTTATTTTTGCCAGAGTTTCTTACAGTAACTTGTACAGGTTTAGCTTTATAACCTTAATTATATGTGGAATGTGGGAAATGCTCTAGTATTTTTCTTTACAAGAAGACCGTGAACTCTAATTACTTAGTTCGGGTATTAAAACATTCCTTGTGCTTGAGGACTTTGCTTAAATGAGCTACATTGTTTGTAGAAGATAAATATAACTATTGAAAAGTTTCTGCTGATTACTTTCATATCTCATTTATATTGCTGTATTTTGTTTAGTTTTGTATGAATGGCTATTATTAATGTTGCATTTGATTTGTTTCTTTCTGTTATCTTTTAGGAGCAGCATTTAAAATGTTAAAGGCAGTTCTGAAAAAGAGCCGAGAGGGTGGAAAAGGAAACAAGAAAGAACCAGGTATGAATATTGATAAATATTTAATTACAATGTAGATAAGGAATTGTGCACTATAAGTTCAGTTATTAAGTTGATTGTGTGATTTAGGGCAGAGGGTGACTCATACTGCAAGTTCTAGCTTCAGGGAGGTCTGTATGGCTCGGGTACTGCCCTCGTTTTGCCTGGACACTGGATGTGCGGAGCATTCATGCGCGGAATGGGTAGAAGGTCTCATGTTCCTGGCAGCGTGTCCCGTAGGCTCCTTCCTGAGCTCCTCCCGGGAAGGAGGACACATGGACACAGCTTGCTCTTCGTTCTTCCCAGAGCTGCTTGCAGCAGCTGTGTGTATCACTCTGACAGTCCAAGGCCAGAGGGTCAGAACCCTGAACTAAAGAAATATGCTTTTAATTACTTACTCAAGTCTATTAGGGAAAAAATGTTTTTATGTACTATGAGAGATAAAATTGGTTTATTTGTGTATTTGGGGAAAAAAAAGCTTGTTAAAAAGAAACTTTTATTGTAAAGTTTTAAGTTGGATATCAGCTTCTGTCAAGGTCTGTTTTCCCTTTAACTATAAGTATTTTTGAAGATAAAATTACTATTTTTACTTAACAGAAAATAAAGCTTTTTTTTTTTTTACTGTTAGACATAAGCTTAGTAAGACACTATTTATTGTCTGTCATGAAAGAGGGTAATTGAGAATTAAAATTCCCATTTTTATGGATGGAGGAGTATCAAATAAGGGGCATTTTCCCTTTGACAAGGAGCAGTAGTTGTGGAGGTGCAGGGGTTCATGGCTGCTCCGTGCTGGCTGCACTGAAGCTCTAGCTGCCATGACTGGAGAGCTGCTGGCCCTGAGTGATCGATGCCTTTGTCCTTCCTGTGCAGTCCTTTAACTTTACACTATTAGATGGACTTTTAAGATTTTTCTCATGAGTTAGATCTTAAATGGTCTATATATAGTGCAGTATGGTCTCTAGAAACACATTTATTTTACTCAGAGTAAAGAATTCCTTCAACAAGCAAACCAGATGCATATCCTGCTACGTGATTTTTTTGACGTGGTTAGTACAGTTCTCAGCCCTCCAGGGAGGATGTTCAGGTTGTGTTTTGCAGGGGGTAGTTCTGTGTTCCTCTGGCAGGTGATGTGTTCTTCAGAATATACTTGCCATCTTCTAAAGTGTACACCTCACCAGGATAGTTTCCTTCAGAATGACTGGATGATGAGAGCTGTTCTGGGAAGAAAAACATTAACAGTAGCTCAGAGGTGCCCAGAAGTGATCTGGGAGCAAGACAGGAGGCATTGGACTAACTTTGTATGCTCCGGACTTGAAGCTGCAGCTGGAACTGTTTAAACTTAGTGGCTTAAAGATTCCTGTGGTGAGGCTTTAATTGGTGCATTTTTCTAAAAAAAATCAGATGGAAATTGATTTAGGCTCAAAATAAAAATAAGGTTGCTTGGAATGGAGGTTTGACCAGGCTTTGATAAAAATCTGAAACTTGAAGCCTATTCCTTTTAGGCCAGGAAAAAAATTGTATGTGGGGTGTGTGTGTGTGTGTGTGTGTGTGTCTTATTTTAATGATCCCATCACTTCTATCTAGATTAATGTTGGCCAAAGGAGGAATTTTCTCTTGTTTGTAGAAGTAAAATGCTGCTATACTTCTGAAAACTGTATTTGTTTTAGCAAAGTGAGTGAGTTTCATGTATGAATTGGATGTCATGGAAACAAAGTGCTTACGAAGAATTGGTGAATGATTTCTGTAGGGTGAATACTAGAGTGAGGTGGAGTGCAGGAGTCACCACTGTTCAACTCCCTATCATAAATTACAAAGTTACTTCCTCTTAAAGGGTTGTAATATTGTAAGCTGCGCCTGCTGCTTCCCAATTGCCGGGGCGAACGCGCTCGCCACGTTGCTGTGGGAGTAGTTCCATCTTCCCAGAATCACAGCCGTGCTCCTGGTGTCGTGGGAGGCCCAGGGTGGCTGCTGCGATGCAAGGGCAGCAGGAAAGGAAGGCTGCTTGGCTCCCAAAGGGAAGGGTGGGCACTGGGTTCCCGAAGGGCGCTCGGCTCCCAGGGATAAGGGGAGGGCAGGCGCTCCTGCTTCCCCCTGCAGAAGTCGCCATGAGGGATGCTTAGGCCGTACACAGCCACTCCAGCTGAAGTATTCCCTTTTGTGTCTTAGTCTTACTGTAATGTAATAATGTAATGTAATAAAACTCCTGGAAGTTTCTGTAATTCCAGGGCTGAGTGTGAGGAATCTTGTTTTACTGAACAGAATTTCCTGTTTCTGTCTTAGCTGTATCCTGCTGGATACATGTTAGCCCTGCAGAACCTGAGCAGATAGGAGTGAGGACATCGTACCTGCCGTGCAGGCACAAGTCTGTGAAAAGGTTAAGCAACAACAAAAATTGATTAGGGCAGAAATTGCTTGTGCGGATTCTAATGTTAAGATTTGCTCTCTTGTCCTGAAATAAGGGCCTAAGAGCTGACAAAAACACCAATTTTGAAATCTAGCTTTTAATTATACTTGTATAATTAACATAGTTATGGGAAAGGGACTGCCTTGCATGCTACCTTGTGGACTGTTCAAGGATATTTATACAAACATCACCTTCTGCCCTAATCAGATGGAAGACGATTAAATGGAATGCTGCTTTGGGATGGAGAAGTGGCAGCTTTAGACTGTTCCCATAGGAGCATGCTAGTAAGGTATAATAAGATTTGGATCCTGTACTTTTCAGTAATAGTTTGTTCTCATACATATCTTCTACAAGTCCCATGATACAACTTTCTCTAATAGTTATGACTTCTGTACAGACAGTTGTCTGCTTGGCATCGCCAAGCCTCATTTTTAGCTCCTGGGAATTTATTTGTCCTCTATTTTCTTTGTTCTTTTCATAATTTATTGTACATTGTGTTTTTCAGTTTCTTTCCTTGATTTTTTTCAAGTGCTAAATTGACCTCTGCTGCCAGATAATGTTTTCACCATTGTAAGATCCTCTACAGGAGTGAGTTCCTCCTTTTAAAGTGTAACACAAAAACTTTATATCTTGGTGTCAGAATTCAAGAAATCACAGTCAAAAACCTGTTCTGTTAGTTCTAGAGTTACCTGCACATGTTTATCTCGTCTGTGGTCACAGTGAATTAATAGCATCAAGAATATATTTAATATGCTTCAGAATATAAGCCAAAATACTTTTGTAATTATGAATATTTTAGCAGAAGTTCTACATAGCCATACTTACTTAGAAGTGCTCCAGAGGTACAGATTGGTATTAGTATTTTCTGTTGCTTTTCTGTGTTGCTGGTAATTTAGTAATACAAGCTTACGGATTTGTTTTTTTAAATGTCTTCATGTCAGCAAATGCCTACATCGGGGAATCTGCATCTTTTTCTTTAAGTCACTGGATATAAAATATTTGTAATGGATTTCAATTTAAAAGGGAAAGAAAATCTTATATGTTAAATTTCTACAGGATGCTCTCAATGATTTCAGTTAGCTTTTAGTAACATGAGCATTGTTGTTCTGTTGACCCATTATCAGGCCCGAAAGAACATGAATAATAGAAGTATTGTACTTAGCTTGCTGTGTTGTGCCTGCACTAAATCCCATCAGAAGTTTAACATAAAATGTAGTACACTGCACACATAGAAACTTAATTGATTTCTGTAGAAATAAATTTGATAAGTAGTTGGGATTTTTGTGTTTTCCAATTTAAAGGCTGCTTTGACTTTCAGATGGTGTTCAAATAACAAGGGGCAAATTACTACATCAACAAAAAATATAGTTAAAAAGGAGAATGCTGTAAAAAAAGGGAAATGGGAGAGATAATGAGTGTTTGGTTTCTGGATGATGAAGTGAAAAGCATTGAAATGTTAATGGATTTGCGTGGTAAATACAGTGACTTTCTGCTTGCCCTGATTTTTTTTATTGGGGGAAGAAGGCAGGAAGTTCCGTATCTATTAAATCTGTCTTGAATATGCTTCAGTTTTCCTCTAGATCAGACTTGCATTTTTTACATTACTATTTTGAGACCTAGTTTCCATTTGTTTTTTCTTCACCATGTGTTTCAGTATCTTTATATAAGTGTCTTTGACCTAAATATGAATCTGTAAAGGTTTTTGAGCGATAAGAATAGAGTGGATGCTTTTATTTCTGCAGTCTGTTTATCTGGCACACTCCTGTTTGTATGTCTAATCTCTTCATAAATATGCACAAATAGCATGAAAACTTCAAATTTGGAATTTTGGGAGCTCATTTGCATGAGATCAGATGTAATTGAGAAGCTGAAATTATACATACAGTGTGAGCAATCAAAAAACAGGATGAGTTGCACAGTCATAGAAAGATATTTTACTAATCAAAAAGAACGTAAGTGTAATCTCATCTTCTTAAATATACTGTTATGTTTTTTCTTTTCCCCTGTTCCAGGTTGTTATAGCATGGACAACTGCAAAAAGCTTGTTCCGCAGTACCAGTGCAGCACTTTAAATGCACTTAAATTCACTGACCCAGTCATTTGTTAATAGTAGTTAAATTTCTACTGTAAAATCCCTTGACAGTCAGAAGGCCATACTTATTTATTAAAATCATTACATAATCACTTCTTTCAGGTTAAATATTTTTGGAGTAATTTGCCTGTAGTGATAAAGGTTTGCATCTCAGCTGAGCTTTCTTAGTTAAAATGTATGTTTGCATTTCCTGCATTATTTCTCATTAATATTGTTATTTAACACTTGTAACTGAATTGAAAGCAATGACAGCTTCAGCCACCCTTTTGGCAAATTCAGAGGCTCGCAGTCTTTAAATAAAATAAACTTGTAATTTAAAGCTAAGTAAGTGAATTGAATCGGCATTTTCTAGCCGAGCTGTCTATGATGTTAGGCTTTGAATTTTAAGTGTAGGGGGACGTTCTGGCACATGAATTGCACCTCCACTAGCTCCAGCACTGAACTTGGGCTGGAATACTTTCAAGCTTCACTGTGACTTTTGGTTGTTACTCTAAAAATATCTTCCAACAGAAGACACATTGTTTCATGCTTAAAATATGAAGCTGTTTTTGGCTATTCTGCATTGCTTTGCACATTTTGCATATCTGTTGATAGTTATTTAAGAGTTTAAGCTTTTCTGCTGAACAGCAAGCATTTTATGTCAGTAAATAACTTCTTTTTCCCAGAAGTTGTTTCCAGTGGTATCTCCTATGGATGGATAAAAGGAGGAAAAAAGAACCCCACCTCACCCCCACCCCCCAAAATGCCATGAAACATTTAAAAACACTTTAAACAGAGGTTGTTTCAATGGTCCCAGTGACCTTTATTTATCACTCTAATTTCTTTAAAACTTGACTGTTCTCTGGATTAGCACTATATAAGAACAGCAGTATTTTGTGTAATGAAAAAGTAATCTAGAGTTCAGAAATAAATGCCAGGGAGTGAGGAGATAAATGCAGGTATAAGCAACATTGGCAAGTGTTATCCGTTTGGACCTTGCAACTTTTATTCTAAACTTTGCAGTTTGTATCAAATGAAGAATTAGAATTGATTTGTTTAATACTAATATATATCCTGTCATATCTTTATTTCTGTTAATTGTATAGTAGAAGGATTAGCTAAAATTTTTAGTCTTAAGGCAAAGTGTAAGTTCTGTGTGAGGTATAATAATGTCCCCTAAGTTACTACTTCAGCCATTCTCATATCTTGTTGTGTGTAAGAAGCTTGTTAATCTGATTTTTTTGCATCAGTTGTCATTGGGTTTTGATTTCTTTTTTCAAAATTAAATAAATAAATAAAGCTTTTGAGATGTTTCCCTGGTTACTTTGACCACTGACTGGTTCCTTGCAGTTGATGCTTATGAAACTTCCTTGTCCAGAGACTCCTTGGCAGTGGAAATTGTACAGTTCAGACCTTCAAGGGATAAAAAGTGGCATTGCACAGAAGCTGCTTTTTTGGGGGGGAGGGGGGCATTTTTAATTTTTTAAAAAAGTCAAATTATTCTCCTATTCCATAACTGACATTTGTGTGCTTAGATTGGCATAGAGACCAAGAAATACAGTGTATGTTTACAACAAAAAAGGCATTTTTCTGAAAATATGGTAACTAAAATGTTTTGCCTGACAAGCCTTTGAGTTAGTAGCAAGTAATCTTAATATTCTTTGTGCATCAGAGTGTGGCAGCTGATTACATTAGGGCTCTATTACAGCAAGTTGTCCTTTGACAGCTGTTGCTCATGTATTTTTGCAGTGTTTTGTTCCTAATAGCAGGTTGCTGGGCAGAAAGCATGGAACATTACCTTGTGGATCTCACAAGCTTGCTCACTTGGGGCCTGTTTTGTGTAGATCCAAACCTTATAGAGGAATTTAGCCCTAAGCTGGTTCTTAGGGTAGATTTTTGATCATTGGTCCAACTTATACAAAATGGAAAATATATAGTTAGAATAAATGCTCAGGACGGATTGAGAGGCTGAGAACGGGGGGGCGTAAGTAGGGTTGGCAGTAACGCGCCGCGGTCGCACTGTGTGGGCGCAGAGCCTCCCTTCCCGCTGCAGTGCTGAAGCCCATGGACAGGGCCCCCTCGGACCTGGAGACAGAGCTGCGATGGCTGCGTCCAGAGGTCTCCGCTCTTGCGGTGGGCTGTAACTCTCACTGTGATAGATCCTTGACTATGCTATAAAATCGTTTACACATGTGGGCTGGTACTCCAAGAGCTGGGAAGGACAGGAAGCAGAGCATGCAGAGGGAAGAGAAAGGTGAGGAAATGAACTACCAGGCTTCTCACCGGCCTCTGGAGGCTGCCTCAGCCCCGTGTAGCTTTTGGTTAATCAGCAACAGTTTGCTTCCCTTTGAACCTCTCTTTCACTCTGTGTAAGATTTTGACATCCAAATGCCAAAGGTTTTCATTTACTGTCTCTCATAATCTATTACAGTTCTTTTCCTGGTAGAAAATGTGGTTTGTAGTATCCAAGTTGTGGCTCTTTCTGGGACAATATTCAGAGGCTCACGGTGCACAAGTTGGTTTCTCTCTGTTCCTGGTGTGTGTATATATGTGTGTGTGTGTGTATATTGTATGTGTGTGTATGTACAATATTTTATATATATTATATATATTATATATATTATATATATATATTTTTTTCCCCTGAGCTTGCAAATATGCCATTGGCCCTTGTCAGGTGTCTTAGTCTTTAGTCAACATTCTTTTTGGGAAGTGTTGGAATACAGCTTGAGCTTTCTTGGGATGGTTCATGCTCAGTAGCTCTCTAGCAGCACTGGGGAAATGAACCCTTCCCAGGCCAAGGTCAGAATATTTGGATTTTCTTGAGGTGTACCAGGTTTTGCACTAGTGAAAGAGCTATTGTATCTTAATGGCACGGTTTTGTGAATGGCAGTAAACAAAAGCTTGTTGTTAAGTGAGGAGAACTACAGGTTGGAAAGAATAATTTCCATGGCATTTATTTGGGAGGAGCTGTTTTTTTGAATCATGCTATCCTTGAGATGCGAGTTCTGCAATGTTGATCTTACACCTCTCCGCACAGTCTGTGGTGCTGAGTCATCAGTGTGTTGCTGCAAAGCCTGCCAGGACAGCGTGACCTCTATACAGGTATAAATATACAGGCATAAATATTTTTCAAGTTATTGTCTGAGGTAAACTAGTCATCTGGTTTGCTGACACTAAGAGACTTATTTCAGCAGTGAGTTGAGCCCCATGGTGGTTTCATAGGCTCCATGTTTCAGGTTATAAGAGACAAAGATAAATGAGAAGCTGCTCGGTAAGGCAGGACATTCACTTCCTTCACAGGAGAAAGGAAGAGAAGCTGGTGAGTCCTAGGTGGACTTAACAGCCCTCAAGGGGGGAGGAAGCAGCGTTTGTTTGTGCTTCTCTTGTCTCTTGCCCCTCTTAAAACATTCCTGCTGGAACGCTCATGGTGTCCAGACTGCACCCCTGGCAATGTAGCTAGGAAAAAGCCTTAGCAACAGTGTCAATATTTTCTAATTGTAGTTAGCTGCTACACCATATTACAGGTTTACCTGTGTCTAGATTAAAAAAAGTGAAGCATAAGACCTGGTTTCTTTGTGTGGTCTTCAGCTAATTCATGAAGCAAACTCATATGTGCTGTATTGCATAAAAAAAGATTGTACCTAATCCTAAATCTCAGTTTAAAAGCAGCAGTTGTCAAAGTTTAGTTGAAGTAATTGCCAACATTAATCTTAGAGCAACATTTCTAAAAGAACACAAAAAAAGCCCCTTAACCACTGGGTTTCCATGGAGAGTAAACAGGAACACTGATCTAGTTATCTTGGTATTTTTGAAAATCTCAGATATGTAATTATAATCTCTAAAAATGTTGAGACTTTATAATTTTATACTTTAACTGCATGCATTTTTAAGTACTGTACGTTTCCACTAGCTTACTGAGCAGTGAAGTTGCTTTTGTATTTCCCAGGATTTTAAACCAGATATTCCTCCTTTTCTCAACAGACTAGGTTGTTGATTTTGTTGTTGTTGTTTATTTGAGTTTGTTGTTTTGTGTTTTGTTCTAGCAGTCTGGCCATACAGTTGATGCAGTTAAGATCGACTGTAGTCAAAAGCAGTAAATCAATTACTTGTTAAAAGCTGAAGGCTGTTAATGATGACAGAATGAACAAGAAATGCAGATCTTCTGGTGTCCCATTTAACAAAAATATTCATTTGCTGTATGTGTATGTAAATATATCTGATATAAGGAATTTTTATTTGCAAAAGAAATTGCTGTGTTGTTCTGTGTTACTGTTGTGCTTCTCAGCCTTATTGTTGTGAACTAGTAGCCTGCTTTTCCCTTAGATTAAAAAAATAACCACTACTGTCAAACTGCCCTAACAATATTTCCTTGTTTTAAGCAGAAAAATAAGCAGGCCAAGCATAACCTGGACACCCCTGAATGTATCTTTCTGCAAGCCGCCTTTTAACTAAGCACAGGAGATTACCAACTAAACATAACTACTTCAGTTGAGAAAAAAAAAAAAAAAAAAATCCTGTCAGATGACTTTGACACTCAAGATACTACAGTATCTGTAATAATCTTTCACCTATAGAAATCCTTTTTGTCTGGAACAGAAGTACCGTTGAACATGGTTTGTCTCTGAGGATGGAAGCTGAGTACTGCTATGTTGTATGAATGAGCTTTTCCTCTGCTAGCTCTCCCAGGCGATCTAACTTTCTAATTTTGTGTATCTAAAATTGTCTTAGTGGTTACCAACATTCTGCAGAGAGTGGCCTATAGTGAGAAAGATCAGGCTAACTTGTTGCTGGAAAAAATATCTCCTTCTGTCTTGCATATTTGTATTTCAATGTAATTTCCTGATTTTTTTGTTTTGGTATATCAAATAACTGATGACAAAAATTTATTTTTAGCAGGTGACTCCTGCCCAGAAAATGCCTTACAGGTTATTGCAACATCCGGCCCCACTGCCGATTTTCCCATTGGCAACCAGTCCGTCTCGGAGGATGTTTATAGAATGAACTTGGCCAAAGGAGTCTCCATGTCTTTGCCATCTTCACCTTTGCTCCCACGACAGTGTTACCTGATGCAGTCAAGATCAAACAAAAAGTCCCCAGGTAAAATGAAATTGATAACTAAGATCTTTATAATACTTTGAGGTTTTTTTTTTTTACACAATTTATATGAAAGCGTTTGAATGATGTTAATATTTTGCAATAAAAACAAGAACAATGAATGTCCTTTGCATGCTCCCAGGAAGAAAAGATAATCGGTGTTTAAACGGAATATTCTGCCTTGTATGGTAATGATTTGTTCCAATTGGTTTAGCAGATACCTAAATTGAAACATCTGAATGTATTTAATGTCAATTACTTACGAATAGTGTTTCAGTTAGGTAGAAGACAGCTACAAAACACTCTTTTGTGCATGTATAGTGACTGTTTAAGAGTGATCTGTTATTTTTAATGATCGTTTTAGAGCAGTTTACTTTTGAGAATATTTTTACTTGTGTGTATACACATATATTTGTGTGTATGTGTATATATATTTATATGAATATAAACATGTAGGTAGATAAGTTGCTGCTGAAGTTGTGGCAAGAAGTTTACTAATTCAAAGCTTGTGTCATTAGACATGACCATGTGCTTTTGTGTGAACCTTACTAAATAAGGTGCTCCGTCTGGTTCCCTTTTATCAGTGCTCTGCACGTACAAATCATTCCAACACACTGGCATCACTTGGGTTCATTCAGGTCAAAGCTTGAGCGTCAGGTGAAATTGTCCATGTTCCAACTATTTGAGAAGACACTCAGCAGTGCTGAGTGTCCTCTGCTATCATGTTTATAAAGTTGCAGAACAAAAGACATTCATTTTTGTCAGCACTGAGAAATGTCTGGATTTACAAACAATATTACAATATTATATAAAATTAAAGTAAAAATCCTTGCTCAAAGGATTGCCAGAGGATAATAAATAAAATTTATATAGTCTTATTTTAAATTTAAATATTTTTCCTTTCAAAATTTTAAAATAGTATTTATTTTTGTCACTTCGTGTTCAAATAATTTGGAGTTGTCTTTGACAGATCTCATAAATATCTTTCTGTGGCCCAGAATACTTTGGGTTTTGTCTCCAGGTACAAGCAACTTAATTTTAAAAACTAGGATGAATATAATATAGAAGGATTTAGTTAGTTAGTTTTGATGAATATTTAAGTGAGGTCAGCCTCTTACTCCTAATTTACTATTGAGAAAATGTACCTGCATTTTAGGCAAATATAATGTCTTACTACGATTATTTAGGTAGATGCACATTCCTAAGTAGAAATACCTAACTAGATGATAGGGTATCATGGGTGATAAAAACATTCTGTGGTGTTCCTTTTAATTTTAACAAATTCAAGCTGATAAAAATGATCTGGTTGGGATCTTGGGCACGAGTAATAAGAATAGGGAAGGTGCTAGCGGTACCAATTTCCAAGCAATCAGCATTATGGCATGTGAGTGGTAAGCTGAGGCTTCTTGAGGATGTGGTGGTTGAAAAAAAGTAAGAATTGCATAGGAAAAGGTTTTATAAAAAGTTTTGAAGCTAACATGCAGTTATAAAGTAGGTATAAGCTGTGTTAGAATAGAATTTCATACCCCCAGTGTATAGTTGAACCCAAACGACCTGCTTAGTGATGTGTTTTTAATGTAAATGATACTCATAGTATTTTTAAAACTATTTGAATATCTAATATGAGGGCTAAGGAAAAAAGCCTTAAAATATTGTAATTTGTTCTGCTTCTGATACTGGTTGGTAGTTCTAACAGTTCCTTTCTATAACCAAAACATGTTTTTGATTATATATTTATGAGTTTGTGTAACTTTTTTCAATTTCATTTTTTAATTCAAGATGCAGTATATAGTGTAAATCCATTTAATAAAAGAACTTGATTAGTAAATCAAGAATAGTAAAATAAAAATAATAAAATGAAGTTTTAGTTAACAAATCACTAGTAGCCTTAATTCTCTGTATTTGAGGGCTCTGTATTTGGTGTCTTCTGTAGACCTTTGATAGAAGGGTGAAATATTTCTCATGCTGTATTTCTTTAGTCCTGCCTATATATTTACTGATTTGAAAGTATCTGCTTAATTGTGATGTATGATCAGTGCATAAAAATGTTTCTCAGAGTAAATATTTTAACAAATAATGCACAGAAGAACTTTCAGTCATAAAAAACACACAGTAAAATGTTCTGATTGTCAAAGTTGTGGATTTTTTTCAAGCAATGTGTAAATCTGAAAATAAATAACTTATTTTAGAATTCAAAGTTATGGAAATTTTTTTTCCTCTTCTCGTCAGATATGTTATCCTTACTTGAAAACATTTACTAATTCCTAAGGATGACTTTACCATCTAGATTACTTTAGTTATCTCTTTAGTTCAGATAAACTTGGTTATTCAAAATGTCATAGTGGAAAAAGAATGGGATATTTTAGATGACTTGCCCTTAGGATGTTCTATACCTCTAAGTAGTTTTCTTCGCCAGATGACTTCTCAGAGAACATAGAGCTTTTGCCAGTTTGGATTAGCTGCAGGTGTAATGTGAGGGGTGTAATGTATATTATTTTAGTTTTGTCCCTTTAGGTTAGGAGAATTTTGTGCCATCATGACATATTGAAGTCATATTTATTCCTTGCATAATGTAATTATTATTTCTCAGGTTTGGGATGACCTCACTGAGAAAAGCACAGAGGGACCTTTCTATTTATCAAGTTACAGGTGTCTATTCAGAACCAATTATGAAATTTCTCTCATCCGCTGTCACTTCAGTCGGGGTTCAAAGGCTCAAGCCTGAAGTGACGACTCTGAAATCAGCCCTTGTGCATCAGGAGGCAGCACTGGCAGCGTGGCCCTGCTCTCACTCGTCGCAGTGGCTGGCAGCTGTGCTGACCGAGGCAGGGCCGTCCTTGCTGCCCTGCGTGGGGCAGCAGCCTTTTTGCTGGTCCGTCTGCAGGCTGCTCAGCCCCTGGGGCCGCGGCAGCCAAGGCCAGGGGAAACAGCACAGAGCGAGCGGAGCGCCCAGCTCTGCGGGACACAGGAAACTGTGCAGTCCTGTCTGCACGCTCTGCTGTGAGTGACCCTCTGTTTATTATTTGCATAGGAGGGCAGCCTTTTTCTTTGTGAGAAAAGCTTGGAAGGATACCAATACTTCGCCTGGCCCAGATTCAACCCTTGACTGTAACTATAAAAGGAGGAAAGAGACAAACTATATCTTAGGCTACTGAAGAGCCAGAAATTAAGAGCAGAACTAAAGCTACTGGCTTGGTTGGAGTCAAAAGCTTCCAAAAGCTTCCTTAGCTCGGTAGGGAGGTGAATAGAAGAGCAGAAGAAAAGAGGACAAAAAGTTGTTGTCAGCTGGAGGACTCTATCTGGAAAGGGGAATGGTAAATACAAAGTTGTTTCTTCTTACTAGAAAGCTAGAATGAATGTTGCTTAGATTGTTAATTTTATGTAAGTGTAACTAAACAAGTATTGAAGATCTGAAGGGAGCGTAGTTAATCGTTTAGGAGAGGCAGTTACAAGAATGGAAGTATTGGTTAATAAAGGAGATTCCGAAAAGTGGTTCTTGTTCTTTAAGATGTGAAAGAAAGATACTGCCTTTGTCTTTGATGGGACAGCATCTTTTTGCGTAGAATTGTTGACACCATGGTGCTTGAACAGAGAAGCAGCAGCCTGCTCTCAAAAACAAGTGGATGCAGAAGATGACTGTTGGATTATTGGTCCTTAAAGGTCCTATAAAACTTCTGTTTACTTAGCTTACCTAATACTTAAAACTAGACTAGGTAAAAAGGACCATTTTCACCTAAAATTTTCTTGAAAACACTTGGAAATGGTCCTTTTTACCTATAATAGGTTATCAGTGTGCCTGGACCTGAGCATGTGTGTAATTAGATAAAGTCAGGTTGGAAGGGACTTGAAGAGGTTTCTAGTCCAACCTCTTACTCTCAGAGCAGGGTCAGCTCTGAGGTAGGACTGAGGGCTTTATCCAGCCTCGTGTTGAAAGCTTCCAACGATGGGGGCCGTGTAGCTCTCTGCGTAACCTAGTCCAGTGCTCGACTACCCTCTTGGCTTAAAAATTGTTACTCATCTCATATTTGTCACCCTATCCAGACTGTAACACCCAAAATCAGATATAAGAATATTTTTGGAGGATGCTATCAAAAGCCTAGCTACAGTTGAGGTAAATGACATCTGTTCTCTTGTCTTGACCGCAAATCCAGTTCTTTTATTACAGAAGGCAATTAGATTGTCAGGCATGATGTAGTCTTGATAAGTCTGTGCTGCTTGTTGCTAATCAGTGTTTCCATATCCCAGAGATGTGTTCCTGGAAGGCTTGCTGCATGATTTCCCCGAGGGTCAGCGTCAGGCCTACCTGACGTGCAAGTTCCCAGGTACAGGTCTACTGAGGGCACCGAAACTGCGGGCACTGGAAGTCACTCTAAATGAGCTGGTGACACAAATTTAGTGAAGGATCTGGCCAGCTTCATGGCTGTGAAGGTGTGAATGTTAAAAATACATCCCCAAGGCTTTTCAGTTCAGATCCAGTTTATGTGACTGCCATGTACTGTATTGATTCTTTCAAAGTAGTTGCTCTTTGTTGTTCAACTTTGATGCATCTAAATATAATTCTGCTTACACTTGAGAGATTGAGGCTATTGTCTCCTTAAAGAATGTGCCTTTGTTTCAAAGGAGTGTATTTTCAGTCACTTCCATCCCTGTAGCCTGTTTATTTCATTATGATCGTGTTGGGAGAGCGCCCTCTGGTGGTAGTGGGCAAGTGAGCTATGTTTTAGTTACAAATTTGTAGTGATTTTAGTCTCTAGGGTGAAAATCATATACATATATTATTACATATTATATAAAATTATATACATATATATTTTAAATAATTGTCATCAAACTTTCCACTGTTATGTGGAAATCAGAAAGAAAAGGTAGGCCCAGGAATGCAATGCCTCAGCACTATTAAAGAACCAGGTCACCTACCTGGCACGCGGTTTAGGTAGTTCTGTGATCTAGCAGGCTGTTTCTTCTAGTGTTATGCAGTGTAGTGGGATAATGTGTTGCTGTGAGAGCTTAAGGCTACACCATAAAGTTGCAGCTTTTCTTTAAAAGCAATTCTCAACCATAAATTATACAGGAAAAGGGACAAGAAATCAGTGTCGTTTCCAGGGACTTAGCACAGAGCTGGAGGCTGCTGCCAAAATGAGGGATAGGACACTTTTTATGACTACAAGTGTCAGAGCCTGAATACTCTATTGCATATTTTCATAAACAAAATACAGAATATCACAGAGGACTTGGTGTGCCCTTAAATTTTGATCCATCTACAAGAATACTGTAGACAGGAAACTGAAGACAGGAAATACACCTTGACAAAGACTGGAGGTCCAGCCTGCGGTCTCTTTCCAAGGTGCTTCCTGAATAGGATTTGCTTTGTTACTGATGGAGATTTGCTGTGACAGAAAAAAGGAGGAAAAACTGGAAACCAGAAATCCAAAGTTATATATGGATAGGGAGGAGAGAATTGAAGTCACTCTGCTGGAATTCTTCCTATGGAGTGTTGGATTTGCACACACCACACTGAGAAAGCTGAAGAGCCATCTCTGCTTTTTCCAAACACTAACACTTTCAGTGTTAAATTCTGAGAAAGGCAGGTAAACATGTATTCCTGTTTTACTGGCATGAAGGGAGGAAAGTTAGATGTAAAGGACTGGGGTGTCCAGGTTAGAACTTGGGCACAGTGTGATCATTATTCAGAAGATTCTGTAGAAAGCTCTACCTTCAGTTCTATTTTGTAAGGCAGAGTAAATAAAGATATTTGACTTAAGGAAAATATACTCTTAGGTGTACCTTTCATTGTTTTCTTAAAACTTCACTGTAAAGCTGCATTAAATCAGTGTTTGGTATTTGTTAAATGCTGCAGTAACATTTGTGTGTTGTTTTATGACTGACTGTGTACTGAAAGAAGTATCTGTAGTTGCATTAGCATCATCATGACTCGCAAATATACACTCCAGAAATAGTGTCTCCAGAATAGGTACAATTACAGTAGAGCTTGTGTTTTAAGAAGGAAAAAAAGGCACATTATAACTTAATGATAGAGGATTCATTGATATTTATTTTGTGCTAGGTCAGGTATTGTAGTCCCCTAACTGGAGTTTTCTATATTACTGTGGTCAAAATGAGTGCATTGGAAAAGTTTAAAAAATAGCTCCAATATTTTTGTCATATCTATCAATGATGTTTAGAATACCAAAAACAGTATAAAACTTTTAACTCCTGATATGTTTTCCGTGTTTTACAGAAGTGCTGCTTAAACATCATTACAGTAGCAAATTGACTTCTTTTAGGACTTACTCGCTGATCCTTAGTAGTGCATCTGCATTCGCCAGAGTTTCCCATAAACCTTTTGTGTATTCATGAAGCTTTTTTCTTTTTCTTTTCTGTCTTTTTTTTTTTTTTTTTTTTTTAATGAATTGACCAGAGTTGAAAAGCATTCTCTTTTTGGAGTTACTAAAATAAAACATCCCAAAATAAAATTATTTTGTTGTTATTTTTCTTCTCCCAGAATATATAATATATAGTACTTCAGAAAATAGGTATAATTTAATACTTGAAGTCAACTTCATCTTTTCAGTTTCTCCCTTGGTACAAACATATGATTGTGTAACTTTAAGTCAGGCTTCTGTGGAGTTACATAGAAACCAGCCCTCGGAAGTATCCAGCGTTCTGGGTGCTTGATGCTGAGACTCATAATAATAATTTTATTATTATTATGTGTAAAATAAGAGTAATGTACAACATACAAACATATGAGATACAAAAGTAGAATACTGCAAGTGGAATTTTTTTCCCACACATGGTTGCTGTGGCCTAAAGTAGGTGTTTAAAAATCACATGGCTACAGCGTGTTGGATGTGTTTTCACATAAGAAAAACTCTTTTTCCAGTCTTGTAATGATGATATATAACTGTATAGAACCTGAAGATTGTAGCTATATATGCATACTAGTAAAACAATATGTGTATAATATTATAATGATATAACCATAATATAACAAGAGATCATATTTAAATAAGATTTTTTGTTTATCAACAAGAATTGGATAAATCCATAGAAATACCTCCTATTTACTTTTCTAAGCTGTGTTTTTTAGGACTATTTTGGGGATCTTCAAGGTAACTCTTAGGTTCCTCTTGTTGAACCACTAGAACTACCTGCTTTTCCTTAAGCTCACTAGATTTTTGGAAGTTATGAGGGGTTTTATCACATATAGCACAAGAAATTAAGATTATGCTAATAAAAATTGAGGTAATTTAGCTTCCTAGTGTGTAATTTCCTAAGCTACCCCATTCACAAGTTTTCCTTCTCTTCACAACTCCGTATTTGCGGTGTTAATTCTGTTGCCTTCTCTTGCGGATGTGCGCAGCGAGGCTGTGGAGCCGCACGCAGCGTGACGTGCTGTGAGCTGCCCGTACTGGCAGCTGCTGGATCAGCATGAGAATTTCAGCCTTCAATTTGTGTTGTAGTACAGGCTGATCCTGATTTAATAAAACCAGATCTTTTTTTTTTTCTGGTGAAACATTAGAGGGCAGCGGTGTCCTCACTCTATTAGGTATTTTTTTGACCAGAGGTATCATTGTACATTTAATGCTTTCTGTATTTGTTAGTAAAATACATTTTGCAAAAAAAAAGCAGCATGGTAAATAACTTTAAAACAAAGCATAAAACTGGGAGTAAGCTTATCTAAAATTATTTTTTTAGTAAGCATGTGTGTGTCTATATTTACAAATTCTTTTTGATGCTAACAGGTGATATTTGAACTTAATATGTATGTGCACTAGGCAGACACTATTTTATGATAGCAGAAATCAGCAAATGTCACTGTCACTTTTTTCTGAACGTACCTTCACCTTTCCTCAGAATGCATCAGTGTTGGAGAAACGACCCTCTAATAAAAAGCTTCTTTAGTGTATTAAGGTTGTAAACTATCTGCTTGTAATCTTTCTCTTCTAGCTTCAGAGGTGTTAATAACAACGTTATCTTCCTGTTGAAATGGAAAATAAAACTTCTGAATAGGCCCATAGAAAGACGATGAAATTTGAACATGAAAAGGTTGCTGGTTTTACTGATACAAGAAACTTTCAGAGCTGTCTTGGCAAGCAGATTGATTTTATTTTCTAGCAAAGTTTACATTCTAAAAGTGAGCCCAAGCAGAACTCACAAGAGTGGAAGAAGTGCAGCAGTTCACTAGATTTCACTGTAGCAGCTGTGTATGTAAGAAACGGTTCTTCTACTTTATTTAGACCTCTGAGGATACATACTGCATTTGAAACTTGAAATCCTTCTGGAAAAAAAAAAAATAGATGCACTCAGTTCTTTCCTACTGCAGGTCCGATCAGGAAGCTCAAGTATGTGGAAAGTCCTAGAGTGCCAGGTGAGGCAGTGCCACCACTGAGAAAAGGGTCAGAGCAAGGAGAAACCAATTCAAATGGTAAGAATGTCTGTTCAGTGACATTATTTGGTAGAATAGTTGTTCATTTTAAACAGAATGATATAAAAATGAAATTTGATTATTTATAAGAATATTCTACAAATTTAAGGTGCTTGTGGTAAAGAGGAGATGCTTGCCAGTGTACGTACTTGATCTTTATAACTGCCTTGATTCTTAGACCTTTATATGTGCTGTAGACCACATTGCGTCTTGCTCAGAAACGTGGTGGGGAGAGGGGAGAGGTCCCCTCTGTGCTGGATAGATGGTGGAGAGGAGAGGCCCTCTCTGTCCTGGGCAGGCTGTAGGAGGAGAGGCCCTCTGTACTGGGCAGATGGTGGAGAGGAGAGGCCCTCTCTGTACTGGGAAGGCGGTGGAGGGGAGAGGCAGGCAGGAGGGCCAACTCAGAACTGGGAGGTGCTGGGCACTCGCAGGGGAAAGGAGTCCAGCTTGCACTGCAGCCATGGCAGGAAGCTAGAGGCAGGGCTGAATCGAGTGTTAAGGCTTTGTGATGGGTTAGGAGAAGGGTGCAAGTGGGAAGACGGAGGGGAGATCCCACGTGCCCTCGATGCTTTGCCTGGACTGCCCAGCTTGGGAAGCGGCACTCGGGTGCTCCTGCTGCTCTCCTCGCCGCAGAATCCTGGTGAGAGCTGACACAGCAGCAGCTCCCTGGCTGAACGTTCCTGGTGCAAGGTGTTTCTCAGAGCCCTTAGCTCATGTTCTTCGATAAATTGAGAATTGACACTTGAGAGCAGGACAGGCCTACAGATTATTATGTTCTTTTCTGGTGGACACCAAACCTGAAAACTCAGTGGCAGTCAGTGTTAGGGATTGGCTTTAAAGATAGATAAGTGATGCTGAAGCTGTTGCCATCAAATAAAATGACAGGGAAGGTTAGCTTGTGGAAATTATATTAGAAGTAATGTTTTTCCTAAAGAGGCAAGTGTTTGAAAATTGCTAATAAATTTGCCTTTTTTAATGGCTGTTTTTGTTGAGGAGTGCCTATTTGAGTTCATTGTTTCAGTATGTCTGTTGAATACTAAAAGGTATTTTAAAACAACCCTGTGCTGATACAGTTACTTATTTGTGTAACCAGAAAAGCTAGGAACTTTAAAGCTGATATCAAATCCTTTGTATAGTAGAAACAACAAAAAATGTATGGTGTTAGTTGCAGTGAGATTGCAGTTAAATTGCAAAAATCTGTATTATTTATTTCTAGTTCTCATTTTTATAACTTCTATAGGAAATTTTCTAAAAAATTACTTCAATAGTATATCAGTCTGACACTGAGCTTTGACAGTGGTGAGCTTAATGCCATCTGTAAGTGATGGTCATCATATTACTTGTCAATCTGGTGATGAATTGTTTGTTAGCTAGTTGCACTTGCTATTTCTTTTCTTTCTTTTTTTTTTTTTTAACTGCTAGAGTTTTTTCCTTCCTGAAATTTGTGCAAGAAATGAAAAGCATTCCAAGACCTACCAACACTGTAAAGCCTAAGGGAAAAAAGGTTAAATGGTATTAGCTGCTCTGTTAGATAGTATATTGCTGGCAGAAGAATTGGTGTTCAAATATGATTGTAGTTTTTTTTCTATTTAAAACAATTTCCAGGAATAAGACTATAATTTTCAACTTTCTTTCCCCCTCCTCTCCAAAGCAAAGCCTGACAAAGACGCAAGCTGTTCTCCTGCAGCACAAGAACTGATGACAAGATTGGGTTTTTTACTGGGAGAAGGGATCCCAACCTCTGCACATATAGAAGAGAAAAATAAAGCCATGGTAGGATAATGGAAGATAATGTACTTAGTATTCATCCTGTTGCTGAGAGCACCATTATTGTTATTTATTTATTTTGGCTAGTTGCAATTATTTTATATATAGCAAAATATTATCTGTATTAAGCAAAATATGATAAGGGAATTTGAAGAAGCAAGCAATATTTTTTTCTTTTTTTAAACTGGGATAACGTTGCATTCCTCAGAGGAAATAAATGTGGAACAACTTTTGTAGAATAGAGTCGTCATTATCAGTATTGGAAAGTAATTCTAATTTACTGCAAGTGTGAACAAATTCTGGGATTTTGTCCCACGTATTTCTGTATATAAAAGGAGTAACCTTTTTTTACTGCTTGTGGGAATGGAAAATGTGAGTAGTTTGTTAAAATATGAACTTATCTCTCTCTCCTCAGAAGTTCACTCGTATTTGATGCTCTACTTTCAATTCCAGTCCTGTTAACTCTTAATACATCAGTTTGGGTTTTGGTGAGAGTGGTGTGTGAATAGACCATAATTTGAGTACTTTAGTACTTTTAACACAGAGCACTAATAATGAAGGTTTTTTTGGTGAATTCTTTAACAGAGAAGAAATCGGCCTCACTGCAGATCTTGCAATAAACTTTGAATTTCTACCCTCCCCTCTATCCCTTTTATTTCCGGAACACACTTTCAAAGAGTGATTTTTAAACATATTAAGGCTCCCACATCAAAATAAAGCTTCCTTTTTTTTTTTTAAGTTCTTGCTTGGAAATGGGTTCTTGATTTTGTTCTTACTCTGCCTACTCATGTTTCTAACTTGCAGGACAGTAGATTTGTTTTTCCTGCCAAGCAATAACTAATTCTTTGCTTCACATTGCAGTGTACAGTAGCCATTCAAGGAGTCAGTCCCTGCTCTACCCTCACAAGCAGCACTACTTCACCTAGCACTGATAGTCCCTGCTCAACTCTCAATAGCAGTATTGACAAAAGAGCAACCCACAAAAGTAGTCCCTGTGGAACCATTAGCAGCCCTAGCTCCACCCTGGAGAGCAAGGACAGTGGAATTATAGGTAAGCACCTTAATTAGTAATGCAGTTAGTAGAATTTACCTGTTCTGAATACCACAAGCCTGAGTACCTGCTTCATGTTCTCCTGTTGGGTACAGTGATCTGGCTGCTGTTCCAAGTGCTCTAGAATTGAAAGACTAAAATGCTCTGCCTATAACAGTTTCATTTTTAAGTGTGCCTTTTCCTTTTCTGTTTTCCAGTGTAGCTCTAATGTCTCTGTTTTTCTATAAAATCAGTAAGTTTTTCTTTTGTTGTTTCATTTTATTTCTTACTTTCTTCACTTCGGTCTTTTGTGTCACGTACTGTGTATGCCTCTACAATCACAGAGAATAGGTGGGATTGGAAAGGACCCCTGGAGATCATCTAGTCTAATGCATCTGCTCAAGCAGCACCAGCTCAAACAAGCTGCCCGGGACTATGTCCCATCGGGTTTTGAGCATCTCCAGCACCTGAACCTCCACAAACCACTCAGGGCAACATTTTCCTAATGGTGAAATGTGAAACAAGCTTAATTTTCAATTGAAGAAAAATTCCTATAATAATGCTACTTCCTGCAAAGGTAGTCTAAATTAAATTGTTTTAAAAAATGCAGACTTTTCAGTAATTGCGATCAAAGTGAGGCTAAAATAATTCTGTGAGAAATAGGTAAAACTGTATGAGCCTCTGCTGAATGGGAAGCTGAGCCTCAGCTCTATCTGCCTACCCAAACTGGAAGCATTTAGCTTTGAGAGGTAGCTACCATCACAGGCCAGCTGTTAAGTGACTCCTTTTACCAACTACCTAAATATTTCAGTAAAACCATTTAGTATCAAAGAAGAGCTCTACATTTTTGCTTGCTTGCTCGTGCTTCCATTTCTTTTTATTCTCTGTGCCCTGATGGGTCCTTGTCATTGTATTCTTGAGTGTTCAGGTGGCTGCTTTAACATTGTTTGCTGGAAGATGACCAGTGAAAGATGTAAAAAGCTTATTTTTCACATTATGATAACCTATTGTAAGATTTCTCTGTTAAAGTTGATTCTTTAATGACTGTTAAGCTTACCACTGGAAAAAAAAAGGAGGCAGAGCACAAAATACCTCATAATCCAAAACTTTCAGTCTAGATAAATGAACTTTCAGTTCTATTTAAGCATAGCTGATGTACTAAATTCTGGGAGGCCGTAAACAGAAGCAATTCTAGATCTTAAATGATTAGATCTTACAAAATAAACTTAAGATGTCAATGGTTTGACTGTGAACCTTTACTCTGTGTTGCTTTTTAATTACAGCTTATGCTCAGAGAAGGAATTTCATGTTAGTTATTCCTATCTCTCTCTTTGTGGTTATGAGTACTTTGTGACCATTGGTGTAAGACCTACCAGAAATTAGTGATTTTTTTTTTTTTTTAAACGAAGTTGATAATGATTTATTCTGACTGTACAGATATTCTGGTACTTTCTAGGAAAGTGAAGGAATTAGTAGTCACTAACAGTGACAGTAGTCACTACAGTACAGACTACTGCAGTAGTCACTAACAGTGACTACTAATAGTAGTCACATAACAGTAAGCACAAGTAATAACACAAGCAATAACAGTAGTTATCTTCACTGATCAGGTACTCTACAAGAGAAGGTCGTAATGGTTCTTAAGTCTCATTAAGTAATTGATATAACAAATAGCTTAGAAATTAATTTGGGGTGTTGTTCCATAGTAAGTGGATAGATTACATTGTTCATGGTCAGTTTTCATTTTTTTATTTATTTATGCAGGTAGAGCATAATGTTAGACCTGCAACTCATGAACATAGGATTGCTTATGAACTTACAGTAACTTACGATTGTAAACAGTGGAAGATAGGGATAATTTTTGTCTTTCTGGTACAATAGTTGAAATCCATTTGCAGAATGTCATAAGTATCTGAGATCTGTTCAATTAGAACAAAGCAAGGTGATCAAATAAGACATGGTTATGACAACATTTTTTATTCCTAACTGCATCTGTGATCAGTAAGTGATGTGTAGACTGAATATTGAGCTTTCCTGACAGGGTATTTTATTAAAATTTGGGAATTTTGTTATGGCTTCCCTAAATGGTGAGTGTTTCCTTTCTATAAAAAGGTTAATCGTTTTTGGTTTGGAAGACTTAGGTATTTGGAGCTCTAAATTAATGTATTGTTCCTTTGTTTACAGTGATACTGTGTAGAAAAAATGACTTTGCAAAAAAAAAAGGGGGGATCTATGTGATGTTTTGTACACAATTTGTGTTTTTATCAGCAAGTCCAACATCAATTTGAGTATAAAAATTGGTATTGCTTCTTTGATAAGTGCTTTTCCTCAGCTAATTACCTGCTTCCTGCATTATTGTGCTTCTCTGGGAGGTAATGCCAGACAGGTGGAAGAATGTGTGCCTGTTTTCTTTATCAAGTTTATAGTCATGCAAGATGCATTTCTTATGCATGTACTAAAATCTTGGAGTAAGTATGTTTACAATAACAGTAATACATTGTTCATCTGAGCCCATAGAAACAGGTGCTGTTTTCAGTTCCTCCTCTCCTACCAGGAAGGCAGGGCCTAACTGACCTAACTGTTAACCAGTTAATAATTTTAACCTTTAAAACAAAACAAAAAAAAATCTATTCTTGAGCAAGTCGTTCCTTTCCCTCAGTGGCTAAATGCAGATTCTGATGCAAAGCACCGGTAGTACAGATTTGTGAGCCTCAGATATTCTATGAGTATGTACACATTCTGAATGAGATCAGAACTAGCTTTGTGCTTGTTTGAAATAATTATAAATGGATCCTTCATTATATAACCTTTTAAGGAGTAATATTTAAAGAGCAGATTATTGAGCGTGCTGAGAAAAGTTACTTACTGAATTAATGGAAAAGAGGGAAGAAAACAAGCAGGAAAAGTGAAAGATGGTGGAGTTGTGAAGAGTGAGATATCTAGAGAACAGAGTGTGAGAAAATATAGACAATGCTGGAGCAGGGATATACGGGTGTGCAGTTCTGTAGTTGAGTGCACCTGGTTCTTCACCACAGTGCCTGTGTGAAAGTGATCTGCCCTGTCCTGCTGAGCTGCAGCACCTGTCTTTAGATGAGGGAAGAATGTAATTCTCTGGGAATCTCTTCAGAAAGCACCAGCTTCAGGTCTAAACTTGATCCACGCATAATGTGTTAGAGAAGATGAAAAGGAGGGTGAGCTGAAACTAATTTAACATGCCCCCAAAATTAGTTGTTTAAATCCTTACAGGCTGTGCTGTCCTCTGGAAAGGGATGCTACTAGGAAGGGAAATGCGGAGCACCACTCTGATGAATTAGTCCTTTTTTTTTTTTAATATCTAAATGTCTATTTATTTAAATTTGCCAACCACAGTAAATGTACATTTTAAATTACATTTAGCAAATATTTAGCAAGGTTGTCTTTTATAATGTCTTCGACAATGTTCATCCAACCATGAAAATAGCTTGTTTTCTTGCTCCTTATGTCGGCTTCCATTTTATTTCTCTTTGCGATGGTTTTCTGGACAAGCAGGCTCCCTGGCAGATCGCTTTCTGCTCTGTTTTTTTTGTTGTTGTTGCTTTTTGTTTGGGGTTTTTTGTTTGTTTTGTTTTGTTTTCTCCCTGGCTGGTTCAACTACCCCGTAGCCCTCTGCTGCTTCATTGCTGTTGTTGAATTCCGCTGTGTTTCCATCGAGTTTGATGTAGTAGAAGTGGAGGCAGATTTTCATCCTCAGCAGTGAGCTAAGCAAGAGAAGAGCCTAGGCTGCCGCCCAGAAGGCAGACGTTTCAGGAGACCTGCTGCGGTTTCGGCAAGGAAGCCTTGCTCCAGCGCCAAACTTTCCCAGCACTATGTTTCAGTCCTGGAGGAATGAACTTAACAAAACAGACTAGCTAAGGACCTGGGTGGTGCATTTTGTTACTGTGTGTTTGTAGACCAGAAAGCTCTGTTTTGTGTAAGGGAAGTTGTAAAGCTGACTGTGCCCATTCTAATGGGTATCATAGGAATGATCTGTGTCCATAGATGGGAAAGCATCAGAACTCTACCTATGTCAAAACGATGTTGTGTGTTGAACTTTCTTTGAGGGAATGACTGCTCCTGTTCTTAGTTTGAGAGCTCGGTTGCTGCCTCTCACTCCAACTTTCCAATACCGGGGATCAGGTAGGAGAAGCCAAGCTGCCTTCTGCCGATGGAGGCTGGGAGGCCGTGATACCGACCTGCTGATAGCGCCAGCTTGCTCGGAGCCTTCCCCCTTCCTCTGCCTGCAAAATAAAACCAAGGCTGCTGATACTTTGTGCAGTTTTTGTTAAGCATGTAGCAACCTTTAGAAAGGCTTTGTAAAAAGTGTTTGGCTTTGTGAAATTGGAAGAACATTATTTATCTTTAAAAAGTATTCTGTGAATGACTGCTTGAATATTATCTGTAGGCCTGACAAGCCACATGAATATGAAAAGCATAAGGCATGTTAGCGTGAGCAGGCCCTCAGCATCTGAAGTATACTCTAGAATACCTCTCCTTTTTCAGCAACCATAACGAGTTCATCAGAGAATGATGATCGCAGTGGATCCAGTTTGGAGTGGAGTAAGGATGGGAGTCTCAGAGCAGGAGCACAGCAGGGGGCCCTTCACGATCGAAGAACAGATAGTTGTTCACCTGTTGCAGAGGAGGAGACAGCTGCATCTGCTGAGAATTTACCAAAAGAAGTGCCTGCAGGAGAGGGCCTGATTCCCTTTGTGCAGAACTCTAGCTCTTTAATAATGCCTCGTCCAAACTCTGTCGCAGGTAAGGTCCTCAGATAGGAAAAAGGCTCTTAATAAGCCTGATGTTCCTGCTGAAGCTTTCTTTTAAACTTAACGTTGTTGGTATGAAAATATTCTTATAGACCAAAAAAAAAAAAAAAAGAGAGAAGGAATTAAATTTAAATTGAATAGATGAATTTAAATTGAATCTAAATTCAATAGATGTGTGTTGTTTAAATTATTTAAAATTGCTATGTAGAGAACTTTGGTCATGAGTTTTAATAGTTTAGATCAGGACTTCGGAGACATTTCAGTATCCATCGACCATGTTAGGACTGCATATGGTGTCAGCAAACGAGTAGCTAATGAAGTGATTTTGAGATGAAGGAGTTTGGATTTGATACCAGTCTGAAAATTGCTTTGGTTAATGTGAATATCCATATTTTTTTTGGTGAAAATTATGTATATATATTGGTGAAAATTTTATATATATATATATATATATATATATGTGATTTGACAGGTCTGCTTTTGGAATTTTTAGCTCTACTTTATATCTATTATTCTGTCTTAAAATTTGAAAAATAAAAATGTTATGCAGTATTTTGCAGCATTCAAGAAAAAAAAAGTAAATATTTTTCTCATAATTAGTCTAACAGCAACTAATATCTGAACCTGTTCTAACGCTTCAAACCACTGTGATAGGGTTGTTCTTGCAGTGAAAAAAGAAACTGTATTAACCTGAGTGCTGTTTGGCATGTGAGGGGATTAAGGCAGACGTGAATTCCTTCTTAGCGGAGGAAATGAATGAAATAGTGAACTTGCTTAGAAAGCATTTTGTGAAGGTTACAATGGGAATGACTTGAGCTGCTTATGTAGGTGGCTTTGAAAGTGATGCACACAAATTCACTACCCCGCTGTGCTTAGCGTGATGTCCTGCTGCAGGAGCTGAAACGCTGTGAAACGACTGCTGCTGCAGATAGTTCTCATTGAGAACTTTTACGTGGTTCAGAACCGTGTTTATTCATAGGAACGCGTGAAACTGTACTTAAAGTCCTAGATATGGTAGTATAATACATGCAGTGTCTAGATTTCCAGAAGTACCAAATGAAATCAAGGCATACTAAAGTTTCACTAAATAATTTGCAAAGTGTAACTTTTTTTCTCTCTCCACAAATTCTAGTGTCATTTTAAATTCTGGTGGTAGTAAGCCAAATATATAATAAGAACAGAAAAAAAGCACATCTGGCTAATGAGCAATAGCTTTCCACTGCACCTCTCAAGGAGACAGTAGTATTTTAATAAAAAGTGTCTGTTCACAACAGTCTGTCTCGATAGAAGGAAACTGCCAGAATTATTTAAAAAAAAAAGGAGATAAATCAGCTAAAAAACTTATTTGTAAAATCCACGTTAAAAATGTAGTAACTAATAATGTTCCTTGTTGCTTATTCTGAGAGAAAAATAAACTTTAAATCTTTAATTCCCTAGCAACAAGTTCAACCAAATTGGAAGATCTGAGTTACTTGGATGGACAAAGAAACGTTCCTTTACGCACCTCAATTCGCTTACCGTGGCACAATACCGCCGGGGGCAGAGGGCAACAGGAGATTAAAGGTATTCATGTACACGTTGTCTTGGCACTCTGACACAGGTCTGCAGTGGTTTTGGATATGCTGACATCCTTGTAAATGTCCCCATCCCACTATATATATTTAAATTTAATGTGTTCATACCACAAAAGATACGTTCCCAAGGGGCTGGTCAGCATGGCTGCAGATGAGATGCTCACACTCTTTTTCCTGCATCAATGCTGTGACTTAGAAAAGGCATGAATGGCTTCATGTAACAAATCAATATATCGTTTATAGAACTAATGTGTGTTTGAGCAGTGCAGTGTACTTCATGTGAATATCCAAAGTGAACTTTGTGTCCTTTCAGTGCTTAGACACTGTTTCCTTGGTCACCAGGTTTTATCATTTGTGACATTAGGCAAGTGTTCTGCGGCTTCAGAGGCACTACATAATATTAATCTTCAGAGTTTTCCTCCAAATGCTGCTTCAGGAAGAAAAGTGACAGAATACCATTAGAGTTGTTTCAGTAATACATGCTTCAGAATTTCTGACCTTTGACTGTTATTTTGAGGTTCAAATGTTAAATGCAATTGAGATAACACATTTTTATATTCTTCTCTTAAATAACTTAGTGAATAGCAGTTTACCAATAACATAAGCAGAAGAAAGTAAGCAACCTCCTGGTAAAAGTCTTGAGATCCTGTAGAGATTTTTAGGCTGTTCTTTCATTTATGTGTTTGAATATTAGTTAATTATTGCTGAAATGGCATTTCTCTAACATTGGCTTTAATTAATGAGTTGTAAATATTTTACGCTCTCAAACTTACAGAATTATTGGCACATTTTAGAGAAAACTTTTAGATACTGCAACTTAGTAACTCAAATTCAGTCATAAACCAAAAAGATCTCCTCAGATGATGCTTGAGATTTATCTCGGATTGTAATTTACCTAGGAGTGATGGAGATTATCTGTACTGAGGTTTTTACTGTTTTTAGGGTAAAAGCTGTAAGAGGAGATGTGGTTTTCAGCATAATTAGCAAGCTACTGAGTGAACGAGCTTTTGGAATGTATTATTGCCTGTGTACTTTCTCTAGTAAACTCTTCCTCTGGTGCCACTTCTCAGGACGTTTCGTTCCGTATAAGCCTCAAGACATTTTGCTGAAGCCACTCTTGTTTGAAGTGCCAAGCATAACTACGGATTCGGTGTTCGTCGGAAGAGAATGGCTTTTTGAAGTGATTGAAGAAAAGCTGAAGAGTACAGATCCGACAGAGAACAGGGGAGCAGTTATTACTGGAAATGTGGGATTTGGGAAGACTGCTGTTATTTCACGGCTGGTAGCACTTAGCTGCCATGGAAGTCGCATGAGACAAATAGCTTCAAATAGTCCTAATTCATCCCCCAAAAGTAGGTTCCTCTACTGAATTATTATTTGTGTTGTTATTCTGATAACAAGAGTTGGAATATTTGCTTTTCAGACATAAGGTAGTAGAGCCTTATGGACTCCTCCACAAACATTTGTTTTTCACAGGGAAAGCAAACTGTTGAAATTATGTGCTCTGTCAGATACCTTCCACAAGATATTCTGGCATCTCAGCCCCTCAAAACACGAAGTAAAAGGCAGGTGCAATAAAATCTCTTCCTCCTGTCATGCAGTGCTTCCCCTAAACTTCGTGGGCGGTTTGGTTTGCCTGTAGCAGATTGTTCTCTCATCAGTTTATTTGGAAGGAGAGAAATGACAAGTTTGTTCCCCACTGTATGCCACACGTTTTCAAAGAATTTAGGCAAAGGCAGGAATAAAGCTATGGAGAAATTGATTTCATCTTCTTAACACCTCCATTAAGATGCATGAAATTCTGTTGCTTGTCAATCCAGAGCCTCCATTAATTGGAAGCAGAGTGTGACTGTCATGACTGGTACATCTACTACTGACATTTCGAAGATGTTTGTTTGTGACCTGAACAGAAACCTGTTAGTAATAGTAACCTATTTGTATTTTCCAGGAGTTTAGTTATGTAATATCCATCAGATCAAGTTAGTCATGGAATATGTAATTTTCATAAGAAAGCTTCATATTGCATGGTTTTGCTTTCAGTAATTATGTGATCTAGAATTGGATCAACTACTGTAAAACTATAAAGTTGCAAATATGTGCATGTGTTTGTCATACTAGCTACAGAGTTTTTTAATATTGCTGCTCAGATTTAATTTTTATTTTAACAGTAAAGATATTTCTAGATTTCCCTCCTCACTCCCTATAAAACAGAGTTCATTGTCAGCAAACCTGGTGTTTTTTATATTTATTCCCTTTTAAACATAGGTGGTGACTCCTGTCAGGAGATTCCCCTAAGTCAGTTACCCCTATCTGCTCCTTCAAATGGAACCAACACAACGAAGACTCCGAATTGTCCTGGAAATCCTGAACACCAAAATAAAATGGAGGATTCTGTGAGACGTCTTGCTTCAAAGGTGAATTTTCTACTAATTAATAGAAATTAATTCTGATATATTTTAAGTATATCAGAAAACCTAGAACCTGAGGGTTGCTTTGCAATGCCTCGTGGATGTAGCAGAAGTCAGTAGTGGGGAAAATGGGCAGTAGTTTTGGATACGTACAAAAGGTGTGCAACTTTCACACCTGTTAAGGTGTTTCACTGTCCTTCAGGTTACACACTGAATTGTGCTAGACCTTAGAAGGGCATGTGTTTTAGGGGAGAGGTGTTTTTGCTTTCCCTCCTGACTTTATTTTTGCTTCTTTGAGAAGCTGATTATGGTGGCTTTGTTTCTGTAGATTAAATTATCCTTTCTGATGTATACTGATATAAAGAGGCTGGTATCTTTTGTTTGCAAAAAGACCTCGTGTCCTCATGAAGTAGATGGTCAGTGCATTTTCTTAAAGCAAAATATTGAAAACAAACAAAAATTTAAAAATTGTGTGTAATTTATCTGTATTTATTGAATGAAGATTGAGTAGAAAGTGTGTGCTAATATTTATTGCACAAGACATGTCTGAATGTAGTCTATTTACCATACTTTGTTAGTCTAAAGATAAATTATTTTAAGCTATTTCTCTATTATATTATTGTGCTAGGAAGTTATTTTGTTTACTTGATCTTAAGTGGAAAAAAAACAATTAATGCCTGCATTTCATGCTTTATGCAAATAGTAGAAGAAAAATGTGTGGTTATACACATCAAATATAAATATATATAAATGTCATGTGCATTATTTGGAAGCAGTGCCATGGAAGCGATGGGTGTGCCACTTTCAGCTGGGAATACTGCTTTTTCCTTGTGTTGGGTTTTGCATAGAAATGCCTTATATCTATTTACAAATAATGCGTATTTTTCAATAATGAGAACAAAGCCAGTTGTCCATTTTTTGATTGCTGTATCAGAATATGCTTAATGGCTGCCAGTCACTTGCTCTTGCCTGTTGATGATCAGATTAGGCCTTAGGTCTTTACAAAGTATGGACACAGTGTTTCTAAATTTTGGTTGCTTAGTAGAGCCTGAGTTTCCTGCTATAAAGCTTAGCTGTTACCCTCTATGTCAATAGGGGAGTAAGGCATCTGATACTTTGATTCTTTTCTTCTTTTCATGACCTGCAAGGTCAAAGCTCATTTTACTTTTTCTGTGCATTTGCATCTCTGATAAAGGCCGTATGTCTCAAGTTATGGAGTTGACTGATAATTCTAATATGTATTTTGGAATTGAAACTCAGTAGCACTTGATTGTAATTGGGCTTACTAGCAACCAACTTAATATTTATTTGGTATCTGTCTCGCTTTTTAATTCTCCAGGTTGTTGCTTATCACTACTGCCAGGCTGACAACACATATACGTGTCTTGTCCCAGAATTCGTGCACAGTGTTGCAGCTCTCCTTTGTCGTTCAAGTCGATTAACAGCGTATAGAGATCTCCTAATAAAAGAACCTCACTTACAGAACATGCTTAGCCTGAGATCCTGTGTCCAAGATCCGGCAGCAGCATTTAGAAGGGGAGTCTTGGAACCGCTCTCAAGCCTCAGGAAAGGTAGGTAAAGAAAGAAACAATTCAGATACAATGTAAAATGCTAGTGAAGGCCAAAATACCCAGATAAATTAATGCTTCTAAGAGAAGTAAGTGAAGCAGAATTCATTTACAGAAGGAATTCTTTTTTTTTCTGTCCCCCCTAACTATTTATGTATTTATTAATAGAATTCTATAAAAGATACTAACAATTCTGAAAACTTCACTCTTACTCCTTTTTCCAGAAAGCTGAAGGATAACCGTGTTTTGAAGTTTAGGTTGACACACTTTGAACTGAAGGATTTTGTTTTCAATTGTTTGTGATTTTTGTCACCAAAAGAGCATCGTTTTTACATGATTTTAAAAACTGAAATGATACAGAGCTTTGCCAAGAAAACATGTAAGAAAGAATATGGTTTTGTATTTAAAAAAACTGGGAAACTCTTCCGTGCAAATCGGCATCTGATGGTGTATGTTTTAGTTTGAGCAGGGGCTTGATACTTGCCAAGGTGGAGGGAGCAGAGTGGTCTAAGTGTGAACCTGGCCCATGGTGTTCTTACTGTCTGTTTTTAGTTCTCAGATTTTGCTTGCTGTCAGCAAATTTGTGAAACCTTTTTTGCAGATCTTATGCTTACTGCCGGGATTTTTTTCCTCAAAATTGCAAATGTAAACCAATGGCTTTGATTTTTGCGAACTACATTCTTTTCTTTGGTGATTTTGATAGTGTTTATGTAAATGCCTCATATTAAAAGTAGTCTCACTTATAGCTTAAACCAAATACATACGCCTTCTTTCTGTATCTGTGCATATCTTATCATGCTAATAGCCATGTTTGATGTCTTAATTCTTTCTAAATCAGTTGTGAAATGGATCCATAATAATAGTGGTCAAAAACATTGTCATTGCTTTTTACTACTATATAGCAGTGTTGTTTTATAATTATGACATCTGAAAAACAGAGCGATTAACTGCTTTCACTCTTTGAACAGATTGTTAAGTATAGAGATTAGACTGGTTTAAGTAATAGCAGTACTTTTTATCAGTTGTTTAGATGTTGAGTCCCTTGGATACTACCAAAATATGATAAAATATATTACTGCGCATATATGTATCTGTTTTTCTTCCTTGATTTTCAAAATTTGGGAATAAAAATGTGTCATTTTATAGAAAAAATTGCTATAATCTTTTCTCCTCTATTTCATTTTTCAGAGAAGAAAATTCCTGAGGAAGAATACATAATTTTGATAGATGGCTTAAATGATGCTGAATTTCATAAACCTGATTATGGTGATACACTTTCTTCATTTATCACAAACATAATTTTGAAATTTCCTCCTTGGCTGAAGCTTATTGTGACTGTAAGAACCAACTTTCAGGTAAAAATCCTTTTAAACTGCCCTTCCACCCCTCCCCCCCCCAAAAAGACAGTGTGATCTTTTATATTGCTGCAGCTAAGTAATTATGAAAATACCCTGGAGAGGAATTCAGTTATGAATTAATTTTTTTCTTCATGTACTTTGTTGTTGCATTTTTATTACACAGGGAATTAATAGGGTTTTTATCACTTTCTGAAGTGTCCTGGGGCAGTTAATAATACAAGAAGTGATGAAATTACAGTGTGTTTCATGGGTTTTTCAAAAGAGAAATGTGCAAATGGATGTGCAGTCATGGTGTTGCCTTCAAGCTTCACTTGTCAGACTGTATGTCTGCTAGTGCTGTGCTTTGGATTTTCACTTCCTAGGGAGGGATAATTGTGGAGATTGATAAAATGGATTCCTGGCCTCAAAACTGCTCGTCTCGTGTCTGTCTCTATTTGTCCAGGTCCCCTTTCTGAAATAATCCATCCCGAAAACTGATTAGAGTTCTGTGTCAGAATTACGTCGCTAACGGACACTTCAGTACTCCCAAGACTACTTTTTACTGGTCGATGAGGGGAAATGAGAAGGGGGATGTAATCCATGCAATACAGTACTGGATTGGGTGGGGAGTGTGGCCCTACAGAGTTGCTGTTTTTCTGCCCTGGCCAGGGCAGAAAGATTTTGTTTCCAGCACTTGTTGGGCTGTTTTAAGATATGCACAGTTCAGTTTAAGAAAAGACTGTGCCTGGTTGTTGGTTGTTCCTTATACCTCTGCGGTAACACCATTTGCATGTCGGCAGTAGCCGAGCTGCAGTCGTACAGTGCCGCTGTGGCGCTCGGAGCAATGTTGGAGAGCTGCAGTCCTGTTGCAGTAACTGTTTCCTGTTGCAGTTGAGGGTTGGTGAGGCACGGGTGGGCACGTGGCTCTAAACTTGCTCCCTCTGTGCATCTAGCTGGCGAGCTGCCGTCGGGACACCGGCTGAGCCGCGCTAGGGAGAGCTGTGCTTCAGCAAGCCCTCCGCGGGGCCCTTCTGCATCTCTGTCTAGCTGCTCCTCTGCTCAGCATGTGTCTGCATCAAAACCAGCATGTAGTTGGCAGCTAAACTTTTAACATGGTTCCTGTGTCAGAGATTCTTTTTCCTCTCTGCACATGTGTGTGGTCAAAACGCCCAACTAGCCTGGAATTTCAGCTTTTTAAACATATACAGAGTTTCTTTTTGCATTTTAAGGTGTTGAGAAGCTTGTTAAGGTCTTCTGGCACCACTGTGTAAGATGTTTCGAGGTTTTTCAGATCTTTATTTATCGTAAAAACATACTCGGATAGTACTGTGAATACTCATTGATTTATGTTACTGCCATAGTTATTACCTGCCTTAAACTGAGCAGACCAGAGTAAGTGTTGCTGGTTCGTTTCTGGTGCATTGCTACTGGAAGATAGGAGGAGGAGGGTATATTAGTAAAGAAACTTCATTAATAGACTTTCCTATGAAAAATGTTGTGACGTAGAAATATTGTTTCATTTGCTAGCAGAGGATAATATTTGCAAAGCCGCTGTAGAGATAGTAGTTTTTAAAATTCTATCTAGTGTTTATTATAGACAAAAAATACAGTAAAGGCTGCTTGTGGAGCTTTGGGTGTTGGAATACTATATTCCATATGTGTTCTTTTTTCTTTTTCTCACTCTCATTCATCCCAGGAAATAACAAGTTCACTACCATTTATCAGAGTATCCCTGGACAATTTTCCAGACAACAAAGAAATCTATGGTGACTTGAGTGCTTATATTCAGTACAGGATTAACAACAGTCAAGAAATTATAAACAATATATCTTTAAATGGAAAAGCTGATGCAGCCATTATTGGGAAAGTGAGTAACCACTTGATCATGAGAAGCCTGGGATCTTACCTCTATTTGAAGTTGACACTGGATCTTTTCCAAAAAGGTCACCTGGTGATCAAAAGTGCAAGCTACAAGGTAGTTCCTGTGTCTTTATCAGAACTGTATTTACTTCAGTGCAACATGAAGTTCATGACAAATTCCGCTTTTGAGCGAGCCCTGCCTATATTAAATGTGGCACTAGCATCCCTACATCCCATGACAGATGACCAGATTTTCCAAGCTATTAATGCAGGCCAAATAAGTGGTGAACAGCAGTGGGAAGACTTCAGCCAGAGGATAGAGACTCTCTCATGTTTCCTGATCAAGAGACGTGACAAAACGCGTATGTTCTGCCATCCTTCCTTCAGGGAATGGCTTGTTTGGAGAGCAGACGGTGAAAACACTGACTTCCTGTGTGAGCCAAGGTAAATAAAACGTGTAATAAATCATGCTCAAATAACTAATTGTGTTTTATATAATTGGCCTCAAGAATTGGCGAGAGAGTGATATTAAAATACAAGTCTCATTTTTTTCTGAACAAAAGCCTGTAGAGGTGGATGTGACAAGAATGTCAAAGGTTACAATAAATGATAGACTTGACGGAATTTGCAAGTCTGCCTTTGACTTCATTATATTCATAGGGAAATTAGTATTATGTTGCCACGAATATGACAAAATTCTTGACAGTTTTGTGCAGTGACTCTCTTGTATTACAGTGAGGGAAGAGGAAGAAGACTGGATCTTTTGGGCTCTTTTAGAAATAAGAATATTTAAATATTTCTTTCTATAATAATTCCAGGTGACATTGTTTCAGTTTGTTCCTTCTCACCTCCTTTGGGTTTAAGAATACAAATTAGGTAAACTGGAGACAGTAGAGAAAACAAAAGTAATAAATCCCTCTTTATTCAAGCTGTAACTGCGCATGCACGGTCTTTGCCTTTAATTTTTTGGAATGTAGACTTTCAATTCATTTTTACAAAATAATAAGTAATGTTGAGTTGGGTCTGTCATAATTTTGAAGGACTTCTCAGTGATGTAGTGTGAATTTAGCAAATGGTTCAGGTAACGCAGCCACTTGCCTCTGGGGAGGATGTCGGAGTTGTGGCTGTTTGGGCTCCTTCCTCATCTCAGTGTTGCTGAAGCTGAACTTCAGTGTTGCTTGAAGCTGAGTGCATCCTCTAGCAGAAAGCAGAGAAAGAACTTCAAGCTGTTCATTAGGAAAACTTTGTTCAGATATTTCTGGGTTTGGGATAAGAAATCTCTTCCAACCTAGAACAGTCTGATTAGCTTATGGTTAATTGTCCAGTAGAATATACTCTAATTAACATGTGGTATCTGGTAACCTTGTTTTCTCAAAGGAATGCTACTTCCATTTTCCTCAAAAATTGACAGCAGAGTAATGCAGGTGTAGATGACTAAATAGACAATTTAGTTCAAATTTTGAAAGAAATTACTTCCAATTTTGCAAAAAGACTGGGCTTTCTTTTGGAAATCTGCAGTTTCTGGCTGTGAGGTAAAACAAGCACAGAAGGAGGAGTGCTGCACAAGTTGGTGTCTAGAGCTGCACTGGGTCTGCCAGAGGCCTTCTGTGAGGTGATGGTAAAAATATCAGAAAGACCGTTTCTCTTTGCATTATTTTATTCTGAATATAATTTTCTTTAGAAGTAATGATTTAAAAATATAAAAAGGCAACAACATAAACAGCTCTAGTTTCTTCACTAATACACTGATAACAAAACCAGAAAATATTTCCAGGTATCACTTTTGAAGTCTGTAGCAGTCATGCCTTAGATGCTTTAGATATCATTTCATTTTTTGTCTGCTGTCTGCAGAGTGCTGAGCTGTTTTGCTTTGGTGAAATTTCATGATTCATGTAGACATCTGAATGCCTTTTTAACAAGCAGCTGTTTAAGTGGCTTAGGTCTCTGTTGGTTCTTTTTAATGAGTGAACTCAGTATACCTAACACAGTTACTTTCTGTGCTGATGACTTCACTGCTGAAGGTTTGGATAGCATTAGAAAATTTGCCTCACATATGATACCTGGACATACATAGGAAGATGTCCAAGTATAGGTGTATTTCAGTAGTCCAACAGAGAAATTTGGGTTATGGGTGTCAAACATACAATCATGACAGGATATTTTCTGGAAGTGTAATTATACATGCAGTTCTCTCTCAATCTTGTTCTTTTTACTAGGAATGGACATGCTCTGCTGGCTTTCATGTTTTCTCGACAGGAGGGGAAGTTAAACCGCCAGCAAACTATGGAGCTTGGTCATCATATACTTAAAGCTCACATTTTTAAGGTAAACCTGGCGGCTTAATAGGACTTTTATGCTCTCGGTACATGAAAATGTGTTAGAGATCCTCATCAGAGTTGATTTAATAATTTAACAGAAGCTTATGCAGAGCACCTGAAATTGTAATCAGTACTAACAAACAAATTATAACTTCTCTTTGTGTTGATAAAATGTAGATGTAAATATTATTTGCAATCTTACAGAGAGATTTCCTGTTATATTGTTTCTGATAGGGTTTCAGTAAAAAGACTGGAATTTCTTCCAGTCATCTTCAAGCCCTGTGGATCGGGTATAGTACTGATGGACTATCTACAGCCCTTGCTTCTCTGAGAAATATCTATACACCCAATGTGAAGGTAAGAAAATAAGCATCAAATAATTCATAAGCATAATTACGAATTATATGTGGAATCATGGTGTCCTATCATTATTAATTGGCTTTTATATATCTAGAGTCTCTTAGAGTGGAGCTTGAAATGTATCACAGTAATTTAGATTATGCATGTAATGAGAAGATTTCTTCTGGTTTATAATTGGAATGAGATTATTTTGAGGGTTAACGTAGTTTCTGAAGCCTGAGTACAAAAGTTAGTTTATTCATCAGTAGATGCAAATTTCAGCAAAAAGCAAGAGCAAGGATGACAAGATTTAATTGCAGAATAAAGCAAGGAACACTGAAGCTACAATGGCTTTAAGTAAACAGCAGACAGAAATAATGTATTAAAAATCCTTTGCTGACAAGTTTAAATATTTTTTCTTGTTAACCTGTTTACAGGCTTAATACAGGACATAAAACCTAGTTTTTAAAAATAAAATAAAAAATCTGTAAATGAACTTCTGTTTAGAAAAAAAATTAATGCACTTTTTTTTTTTTTTTTAAAGCTCTGCTTTTTTAGACTGTGATTGTTAAAGGCCAATTGCATTTTCCTTAATACTTGTGATAAAAAGAAGGGTTTCATGCTAATTCTGGTGTACCCACATGCTGTTACATAGATGAGTGTGTTAACAAGTTTCAGGAGATCGAAGATACCTCCTGATTTGCTAAGCAGATTTCAGCTTCATTTTCCTGTATGCAGAAATACCAAGGGAATAGTAAAAGGGGGCATATGGTGAGATTAAAAGGATTAGAAAATGAAAATGGCAGGACTCTTGGATTGGGAAAATGGGAAATGGGGATTTGGAATTTGCAGTTTTAGCCAACTGCTAAGCCTTTGACTGGAAATTTGCTTACATGCATGTGCATAGAGTTTTATATATATATATGTGTTTATATATGTGTGTGTGTGTGTGTGTGTGTATTTATATACACACACACATTAAAAAAAAAAAACTTGTGTGTGTGGGTAGCCTGGTTTTCTGTTAATGGAGTCTGTTAAATATATCTGCAGAGTAGTAGTAAATAGCATAGACAAAAAGTCATACTGTTGTAACGGATTTTGAAGTTGCATTGGGTAGTGAGCTTGAGGGAAGGGTTGAGCTTGTGTTAGTAATACATAGTTTAGTAGGACAATAATTATTTAATGATGACTTGTAAACTTTGATGGAGCCATATATGTGACAAAGTGTCCACCTATAGTGTCTGCATTGAAATTGGAGAGTAGCACAGAAGGACTTGAATCAAGATGTCAAAATTAGTTCATAAACTAAGACAAATACAGAAAAAAAAAAGTGTTCACATTCACTTTTTAGGTGAGTCGTCTGCTGATCCTGGCAGGAGCGAACGTGAATTACAGGACAGAAGTACTAAATAATGCTCCAGTTCTGTGTGTTCAGTCACACCTTGGACATGAAGAAATGGTCACTCTTTTACTAGAATTTGGAGCTGCTATTGATGGACCTTCAGAAAGTGGAATGACCCCCCTTAGCTACGCAGCAGCTGCAGGTCACATGAACATAGTGTCGCTGCTGTGCAAAAAGGGTGCAAAGGTAAGCTGAGATACAAAGCTTGCAGTGCTCACAGCCAAACACATAGTGTGGATGCCAAAGAAAACTGTTATTGCTTACATAGCTAGCACAGAGACCTCAGGAGTTAAGAAGTGTGAAACACACAGGCAGGCTCCATGACAAGTTGTATTTCAGATCAGGTGCATGCTTGGTTTTTATATGCATAGCTATGAAGTTAATGGACCTGCATATCTGCTCGATTTTGAAATCTTTGCAGTAATGCTGCTTAGAAATCCCGGCATGAAATACCGATCTTTATCATCAAAATGCAGTCAGAGACACTGTGCATGTCGTCATGGTGGTTGGCAAGAGGGAGCATTGGGATGTCAGACTCTGCCTCGTGCCCTGTTCGGAAGTGCGCTCTCCGCAGTTGTTTTCAGGGGAAATGGCAACGTCACGTTCTGTGGGCTGGAGTGAGACCGACCGGCCTATTAATTCCTTAGATTTTTTCTTTTTGCGCTTTTGGAATATAGGTGTGTCATTTGTTTTCTTGCAGTCCTCAGGACCCCTCCTCCCCATTGTCATGACATTTCTACACTTCTCGAGGCTCTTTTTTTTATTTTTAACTATGAATATTTTTCCTATTGCAGGCTGACTGCATAGACAAGAAAGGCCAGTGTGCGTTGATCCATAGTGCACTCAGAGGGCATCGTGATATTCTTGAGTACTTGCTCCATGCTATTTGGATAACTCCTTCCCAAGAACAAAATTCACTGAGAAAATGCCAAGTGCTGCAGCAAGCATTGACGGCAGCTTCCAGTATGGGACACTCCCAGGTAGGTTGCTGCGTAGGATATTTTCAAATCTGTTTGAATTCATCAGAATTGTACAACAAGGTTTGTAGTTACCTGTAAAAGAGGGCAACTAGTTTATCATATGATTGGATTAATTTATCATATGATCCAAGAATATCAAACAAATTGAATTTGATGATTCGGAACTAAGATTAACTTGAACTAGGGCAAAATTCCTTCACTATAGTAAAAGTTCTAATTTACCATCCACTGATGACTGTGGAAGGACCAGCATGTTAGTATCTGCAAAATATGTCATATTAATCATAAATACCTTTTCATTTATGCAAAAATTTCTTTTCTCGTTCTTCTTTTTAGAGCAAAAAGAAGCTAGATTTTTTTTCTTACCTAGAAATAAAGGCTTGTGGATTTCGTTAATTTGCATTATATTCTAACATCTTAAATTTTCAGATTTTCTCTGCAGTCCATGCAATGCTTCTCTTGGAAGTATATTCATATGCTTTCTTCTCTCCTACCTTTGCTCTTTCCTTTTTCATCCAAAACTTTGATTTCACTGTTCCTGGTTTTTGCATTCTCAGCAAGTCTACACCCTGTTAGACAATTGCTTAGTGTTTAGAAGAGGGTCTAAGCTAATGTTCTTGTATTAGTTGGTGGTTAGAGAAAACATAACAGTTTTAAAGATAAAAATAAAAACACTAAACTTCCATTGGTCTTAATTCTAAAAATGAGCATTTAATAAACTATGCTAAGGCTGTTCTGTAAAGGAGAGGCCTTGAATAACAGCTAAGATATAAACAGCATAAAGCTGAAAAAAAAAGAGTATGAATCCCCCTTTCACAAGATGTAATATAAACTGTTATTATTAATGTTCACTTGTCTTTTAGTTATTTCCCAAATCATACTGATCTTTTCTTTGATTAAAGACTTCAGTTAAGGATTAAGGACCAAATGAATTCTTTGATTCTTGCACATTAAGAGAGGAACACTGACTTGATTTAAATGTTTTAGCTATTGCAGTATATTCTACTGGCAAATTGGGCTGTGTATGTGTCAAACATTATCTGTGATATGTTTTTATTTACCTTACAGGTGGTTTGTTACCTTCTGGCAATTGAAAAGGGACATGAAATTGATATCAACGACACTGATGTGCTGTGGGGAGAGACAGGTATTTTCTGTTTTTAAGTTTGAATTAAATTTTCTATCATAAAAACGAGGAATGTACCAGAGTTAAACTGCATATTGATCGATTTTATCATTATGAGCAATATCAATACTTTTTCCTTTACTAAATCTACTCACCAGCCATATTGGGAGAAATGTATAAAATTATTTTTAATAAGTTATTTTCTAATTAAAGTGCAGATTGACCTCTGAGATGTTTTTCAGGCTTTACTATAGAATTTCTTGGTACTGTGCATCTGAACAGTTTGGGGGTTTTTATCTCTTATTTGGAGGAGAGGTCACACGATTGCCCAGCTTGTTCTAGTTAGGTGCTGGGTGAGAACATTCTCCCTTCTGTGCATGGCAAGTGCCAGATTTTTTTGTTCATCTTCAAGCTACGCCGTAAACTACACAGCCTACAGCTGGAAGTTCCCCTCTTTTATTGTAGGAGTATTGTAGGACCTTAATTTGATGTAAAGATCTGAGATTTGCGTGAACAGTGCCTTATTCAGCCTTGTTTGGGTTCGCTGCTCTGGAGCGCTCTGCACCTTTCCCTTGTGCTCCGCTCGCTTCCCGCTCCTCCCTGCACTAGAGCCTGAGCCTGGTGTTTGTATCTTGAGAGGATGAGAACTTGAGCGCTCTGTGCAAGGGAAACCTGACCAAAAGCCTCCTTCGGGAAGCTGATGGGGAATGCTGGCATTATTGGTGGAGGAGAGGAATAGGGAAAGTACAGGTATAACCTAAAACAATAACGGGAAAGAAGTTTAAGGTAAAGTTAAGAGATTTTAAAATACAAGGGTGGAGGTTTGTAGAGGACTTGTTACGTGCAAGGATGTTTCCATCAGATGCTGCTGAGGCAAGGTGCAAACTTGGAATTCTGGAGAGGTTATAAAGAAATGGAAAGAAATCCTGTAAGGTGTGTTCACAGAATATTTAAGGTTGGAAGGGACCTCTACAGATCATCTAGTCCAACCTTCCTGCTCAAGCAGGCACACCTACAGCATGTGGCACAGGGTGGCATCCAGGCGGGTTTTGAAGACCTCCAGAGTAGGAGACTCCACAACCTCCC